AAATTGGGCTTCAGCCTTTAACAATGGCACCACCCTGTTGCATGTGTACTCCCCAGTTATGTTTTACTTAATGAAGAATACATAGTGGGAGTCTGACTCAATCCTTTGACGTTGTATTGACTGCTTTGTAAAGGCCACAGCAGTTGGTCATGTTAGACGTTTGGTGATTCCCCAAGAGATATAAAAAGTCAAAAAATGTCATTCAGCTTGCTAGCAAAGATGGAAAAAATTAAATATCAGTTTGGCTGGACATGGCCTTTAAAAGCTGCCTGTGTGTGTATAGGTCTTACATGACACAATCATGGAGTGGAATGTGCCTGGCATTCCCATCACATACAGAGAAAGTCTCTGGAGGTATCTCTATATTTGGAATCCCATCTTAAGCTTTAGTACATAACTACTAATCTACAGCACAGAGAACACAGGCTTCGAGCTTACCTGAATAAGACGGCACTCTGATTTGAGAGCTGGCCGTCCCATCTCCACCTTCACTAACGGCTCGTACCTCTATGATATAAAAGCCGGAGTCAGGCAGCAGAACCACTGCCGATGTTGTCTGTGTTTGGATGACTTGGCTGTTGCTGTGACCTTCTTGTCTCAACATGACCTGCGGATTAAGAAATAGAAAAATTGCCTGTTATGTCTTAATACAAAGGTAGAACACCAGATTGGAGATTTAAACAGAGGCCACGGATCTGTGACCTTTCACAGACTCACTGTAAGCTTCAATCTAAAAACAGAGAGAAAAATACCACATATATCATGCAGAGGATGACAATTCCGTTGTTTCCAAGCCTGAAACCTGCCTCGTAGCTAGAAAACCACATTGTAGTCCCAGTAGATGGGAAGAGGACAATTATCTGCCTCCTATTCCCAATTGTAAATATAAAGTTCCAGTCTTCACCAAGGTCATTTTAGAGATATTATTAAACACCGGTAATGTTTTTTTTTTCTTTTTATTTGAGAGGTATAAGGATTACAGGGACTTTAGAATATTTTTCAATTTATTTTTTCTGAATATGGTCCTAAACTTAAAGCAGCATTTTGGATAGTTATTAAATCATAGTAATTGTGCCCTCCCAGCTGAGGAAGAATTTAAAGCTTGTTTTGTCAAGGGGATGATCTAACATAGCTTACTTCATGGTCCTGCAGAAGCCACACTCCGGCCCTCTTCTCTCCTGCCCGGGAATGTGGGTGGGCACTCCTACATCATGTACATGGGCAAAGGTTCTGCATTTTATGTGATGATGTTGGTGAGAGGGGCATTGACAAGACTGGTGGCATTGTTGATGGTACATGCATTTGAGCAAAGCTACGCTGAAATGCAAATGGAAGCATTTGACAACATTGTCATCACTGAAGGCTTATGGTGCTTCTGGTTCTTCCAACAAGTGACATCCAAAATAGGCATGCATAGCAATGGGACTCAACTGACATTTAACTTGTGCCAACTTGGGATACCAACCTGGATGAATCATTGCAGGACATGTCAGTCATGCACCCCTGTGTTCAGTTGCCTTTTGTATATTTTGAACAGTAAAACAGGATTTTTGCCTTGCCCGTGTCCAATCACCTGCATAATTCTGCATATAACCCAGTCATCTTTAAATCAGCCTGTGTCCTGTACTGTATGATTATGAAACCCTAAACTTCCATACATGAGCTTGAATGAGTTCTGACTTTATTGACATTCTAAAACAGCATAGTTGTTCCAGGCCTATAAAAATACTGAAGCCAGAGGATCAGCAAAACAACCAGACAGCTACTGGTAGTATCATGAGAAAGAACTTAGCAACAACATATTTAATTGTTCTTCCAGAAAACGATTTACTATTAAGGAAACTTGCCATGTGAGAAATGTACAGACTGCCATTGTTGTCCTCTCCTTTTGACTTCTAGTTGACTGATTATCATGGTGATACTTTGGCTTCAATACTTTGAGTTTCTGACCCAGATTTTTCACTTGCTGCACGCTTGCTCCAAGTCACTGACTCAACTGACCTGGAAGCAACTAAATTTTCAGAACAGACCAGAAAGGGAAATGTGTTTTCCCTCATGACTGGTGTACTTTAAGAATAGTAGGTGCAAAAATGTAAATCCTTCTTTTAGGGCCCCTCCACACCTGCCTATTCCATCACTGCATGCATGATAGAGTGGGGTTGTATTATTGCATTAATGCAGCCCATTCATTTAGCATGCTCTGGTAATGCACGACAATGCAACAAACACAGGACCTGCATTACTATAAAGGCAGCACATTGGTATGCTGCAGTGCAGGCCCAATGGCATCTAATGTACTGTTCATTGGTTATCATTCTAATTTAATGGCACTGCAATGCACTGCACAGAGCTCTGTTTATCCCAAACACCTGGCTCATAACACAGACAAAGCAAAAATATAAAGCCACTTATCTATATTACATACAGCTCATCAGTGCAGCATATGGAAACCATATGTATTAATGAAAATGATTATCAGTCAGTTTAGGTAGGTTAAAAGGAACTATAAACTGCTCCATTAGCACCTTGTAAAGGACAGCACGGCCTTCCGAAGATAGAAACTATTAACATATGATGGCTTCAATACACAGTCCAATCATATAAGATTTATTCATGATCAATCCACTAGAGATTTAATATATATGCAATGGTTCTTTATCATTCATCTAATCTCAACAGCGCAAATCTGCTGGGGATAACAGCAATTTGCAACTTCTGAAATCCCAAAGTACTAAAAGGAATATAATCTTCAATATTTAATGTAGAAGGAGAAACAGCAAAGCTTGATGTCATCGGTGAAGATTTTAATTACACCAAGCACTCCAATCTATGGTGAAATTAATTCTAGGCCAAAGCATATATTATATTTGTTTTTGGCTTCTACTTATTTATCTTCTATTACAAATGTATTTATACTTTTATGTACACTACCTGTTCCCCCCCCCAAAAAAAACTCCCCACCTGGATGTCAGCTGCCTATCTGAATATAGTGAATGACCAGGTTGCTCCATCAATTGATTTTTTTTCTTCCTAGGTGACACATTGGGCATATTCTAAGATGACAATGCCAGGATTCATCGGGCTCAGATTGTGAAAGAGTGGTTCAGGGAGCATGAGACATCATTTTCACACATGGATTGGCCACCACAGAGTCCAGACCTTAACCCCATTAAAAATCTTTGGGATGTGCTGGAGAAGACTACACAGTGGTCTGACTCTCCCATCATCACTACAAGATCTTGGTGTAAAACTAATGCAACTCTGGAGGAAACGATGCCATGGCAAATTCATGCTGTAATCAAATCAATCAAATCCCCTCCTACTACATCCTCTACTACATCCTCTACTAGTAAAATAAATAAAAATACCCTAGGATTCTAGATGCAAAGATACAACTATTGGAGTTCACCAGCAATTTAAACAAATGTCTCCAGTATTTACCAATAATTAAAGATCATTATTTGGGTGGAATGATTCTTTACTATGTTCTCAACAAGTCTGCAGTGAATGTATGTCCTCTCAAGCAGGTTCTTTTGTTAGGAGGATGTTAATTAAAAGTCATGGTTGATCATCACTTATTTTTCATAATTAAAGCTGAACTCCAGGCAGTCATAAAAGGCACACATTAATACAGCTCTGTAATCATTAATACATCATAAAATGTGTGGTTTTTAAATGAAAGCCTAAATTTAACTTGGTATCAACCTCTTGCTGTCTACTATGCAGTCTTTACAGCAGAGCTTAGAGAGGGTGAGAAGAAGCACATGAAGCTAATGAGGTGTGGTACAATGCATTGAGTCATGCTGAAAGAAGGGCACAGTAGAGAGATGAGGTAATTAGTGTACTGCTTCTCCTTTCACTGTCCGGTCACAGGGCAGGAGTGGGGAGGGGACCCATAAATGAAATTGCAGCATGCAAAGTTCAGGTCCCCTCCCCTGCCAGACAGGGCTGCTCTATAAGGCTGAGGGCTATGTACATCTGAAGACTGGATGGATGTACAAATCCTTTGGCAGATAAAGCAACTCTTGTATGTATTCTGTGTAGTGGCTGAAATTTTTTAACTGGCGTTCAGCTTTAACCAATCATTTTGAACACAGGGAAAGCTTGTGCACAGCAACACACATTACCACTGCCTGCTATTCTCATGGTATTGTTGAGCAAACTGTCGCATATCAAAACCTCGAAGCACTATAGGAGTCATTATGAAAAAGCTTTTAATGGGGGTTTTCATATGAACATAGTGAGTAATATGCTTATTTCTTTATGACAGCAGCCTATATAATCATAATCTATATTGCCTATTTTATGGTAGTAAAGGTGACTCTATTATACTGATTTCACTAGATAAAAAAAAAAAATATATATATAAAATATATAAATTAAACAAACATATATAACTGTACAAGCCTTGTTTCATTGTCTGTGATCTTTATGTATATACCGCCGCCACAAGCAGATGAAGGGAACACAAAGGGAAGAAAAGAGACATTTGAAGTATGCAGTATGTAGGGTAGTCCAGGCAATACAAGAATAACACAACACCATCAATGTGCTTAAGCTAGTGCATGCACCTAGAGCAAAACACTATTTCAAAAGGACTTTTATTTACATATCACTAAAGGTTCTCTTGACCTGAAAGTCTGTCATGCACTGTGTGCAGTTCTTTTTTCTTTGTCTGGACTGATAATTCTGTACTCCCTAGAGCAGATATTCTCCACCAGGGTTCAATGGAACTCCAGGTTTCCCCGAGAGGTTGTTAGGGGTTTTGTTGAGTTGTTGCAAACTGACTTTCCATCTGATAGTGCCTGCATGACTTTAGGACAACATCATCAATCGACAGAGTTAGTGCTATGTACGTAAGGGTGGCATTCTTCTCATTCACTACAAATTTTAGGATGCACTTCTTCACTGATCACCAATGTAATGGAGTCTGTCTGTGTTTCTTTGCTGGCCAATATTTACTTTTGATTTTATTTACTTTTTTAATTTTCAATATTTGTTATTCTTCAAGATAATGTTTTTGTAATTACAACTAAAAATGATTTTGTAGATTTTTTTATTTTTTTATTTACAACATTTTAGTGTTAAAAAGGATCTACCATGAGGGCCCAATACCATGAGTGTCCAATAGTTGTTATCCTTCTTTATTATAATATATCTATGCCCTACTGATAGTGATAACATTCCATGAGCTGTATATATAATATTTAGTAGGCGTTCCTTGATACCTGAGAATTATTTTAAAGGTTCCATTTAGGATAAAAAATGTTAAGAAAGGCTGCCCTTCCAACCCCTCCTTCCTACTTTATCTGCTGCTAGAGCCCCCCTCAAAAAAGCCAGTAAGCCTGCATGGTGCACAAATGACACTCCCTCCTCCCACAATTTAACACCTGGTGCAAAAGCAGCCAATCACCAGATCCAAGTTCTGTCACAGGGCTGCATATACAATATACAATATAGTGCCTTGATGTGGAAATCTGGCTTCCACATATACAATATGTGCAAATATATACAACTAAACCCTCCCTTTTGAAACTGAGTAGTTAAAAAAGATTTGTTAGGTTTTTTTTGCTGAACAGTGTGCTGGGAACCCTCTTTGTACTGTTTTGTATATTGCTCATGTACACCGTCTCCTGTGTGCTAGGTCCAAACAGATTAGAGCAGCTGCAATCTTTATTTTATATATAAAAGAAAAATGTGCATTTATTATAGTTTTACATCAGTGGCTGTAAAGTATTGCAACCATGATCAACTAATTGCAAGTGCAATGCTCTTGCCGATTATCCCTTCTATCCATGTCCTTACCTTGATACCGACATTCAGTAACATGGACGGAAGGCAGAATCAATGCACTACAAGTGTGGTAACATCACCACACTTGTATGCCATTGAGAACTATGAGTCCCTTTGCTGTGATGGCTGATACTGATGATGTGTCGTTTTTCCATTCACAGATCCTGTTAAAGAGCTGTGAACAGATGGCATAGCTGAGCCACGAACAGACATGCCAAATAAAAAAACAACACCAGCCTGCGGGAAGAAG